CTTACCTCATTTTCACAGGCATTATCCAACTGATATTAAACTTTTTAGTGAAAACTGAAACAAAAGTCATTTAGTGCATTTGCCATTCTACATTTTCTGTTATTGTTTCTGCCCTTCCACCCAATGAGTAATAGGCCTACTCTGTCTGGTCTTCTTTCGTCTAATGTATTTGTGGAATGTTCTCGTTACCCTTGAAGCACATAGCTAATTTAATCTTATGTTGTGCCCTTGGTCTTTCTAATTTTGTCCCAACCTATGTGTTGTTTATATTAATACTTTATTCTATTTTCCGCTTTTTATAGGATTCTTGAGTTTTAGATCAGTGAAGACTTCTTGGTTAAGTCAGAGTGGTTTCTTGCAATGCTTCCTATGCAATGGAAATTTTTTTCTTATGCAGAGGAATCAATTACAGTACATATTTTTTCAGCTCCAAAATTTCATTCCACAAATCAGACAAGTTCAAGTAGATAGACAAAGGATGGTAATGGCATTCTCTTTTTACATACAGATTGGTATAGCACCACTCATACTTGTTTCCTATAGTGGTTGATCACATAACTTAATCCATTTTTGGGGAGGAAAAATATTTTAGAATAGATCACAAGTTGGGAGGCATACATCTTACTCTGCCCTTTAGTGGTTCTGCTACATTTATTTCTGCTGTTGGAGAATATGGCAGACCAATCACTCACTGAAGAAATCCTAACATCAAAATCAGAAGGATGACTGCTCTAGTATCCCCAGCTGATCTCAGCTGCTTTGGTACCACCCAAGGAGATGGGCAGGTCCTCAGGTAGTCTGTATTAATCAGGAAACTTAACAGATTAAAACACAAAACTCCTTGAATTGCCAGACAGCAAATGGAAATCGCAAAGCATTTCTAAAGCACAGCATTCTAGCAGCAGAGTAGCATATTTTTAAATGCTTATATAGCATGTTGTGAGATTCAAATCCACCTTATAAAGAATATTTTGGCAGACACACCCTCCAAAGTACCTGAATTGCCTTTGTAAGTTCCATAAGACTTAGATGGGTTTTGGATGTTTTTTCCGGATGAAAACTCATCTTGAGATATTGACATCAGTGGCCTCAGGCTGCTGGCATAATTAATCTAGAAAAACAAAAGCACACTTCATGGTATTTGTTTTAAAAATAGACATTTTTACTTTTCAATTAGGGATACCAGAAACAGGTATTTGGGTAAACTGCTGAGATTTTCAGCGGTTATCTAGTTACCCACACCAACAGTTCAGGGCAGCAGCTGCTCCCACCTGCCTCCCTGCTCTCGGGGATCTGGCTGCCTCCCTGCTGCCTCCAATATAGACTCTGTGGCATGGCAGCTGGCTCCCCAGGAGTAGCGAGGGGGAAGGGATGCCATTAGGGAAAGCTCTCTGACACCAGTTACGTAGCACACATACTTATAGCCAGTGCTTTTTTTGTTTAAAAAAAAAGTGCCAGTACTTATTTCTTGAGGAAAGTAAATTCAAAATATGCCTCTCCAGCCCTTCTTCCTATATCATGTCAACATACGTATGTGCATAAGCGAAAAGCAAATTTATTATCTTGCTGATCCCGCAGAAGGAGTCAGGCTGGGGGCTGTGCAAGGGGAAAGCAGCGCAGTGCGAGTTCTCCCAGGGCCGGCAGGGGGCTGTGCCGGGGGAAAGCGGCGTGACTGCTCCCATAAAAAAGGGTGCCGGTACACTGTACCAGTAGTACATACCGTCACAAAGAAAGCACTGGTTATACCTTCACATCCCTATTTTCAACATTTAAAAAATAGCAACCTTTCCCATAGAATGCCAATACATTTTCATTGGCAAACCTATATTTAAGTAATGAATCCTATGTTTCGCTGTGCTGCTCAAGTTTGCTTATTATTTTGCTCACAACTATCAATGCAAGTAACAATGGCATCCTCTCATGTAACCTGAGTTTTGAATTAGCCATAAATGTGAAGTAAAAATCAAACAATTTAAGTCTTTGACCTTTTTCTTTCCCTGTGTATGTGAGACACAAGGACCAGTGTCCTTCCCTCCCTCCCCCCTGCCCCTTTCCCTGTCCTCCTGCCAGCATACTGATCGGACACTGATCCTTTTGTTCCAAGTGGTGGCAGCATGGGCTAGAATGTTAGCTATGGTAGAGGGATGAATTCATCTCCTGCAGCATCAGCCATAGACCTGCAGAAGCCAGTGTGTGTAGGCTCACCAGGCTCCCAAACACTTCATTGCCAGAACTGCCCTCTTTTCCCCTCCAATTAGCCAGACAAGATGCAGCAGCTGCCTGGTTGGGAGCCAAACAGAGTGAAACCAGGCCCTGATCTCTGCCCAGAGTAGACCATCTAGTGCCATATAATGAGAAACATTCTCACCTAACCCCCTCTCCACAGAATGGGACCAGCTTGCTAACTCTCCCCCCCCCCCCCAACCAGTTGTTGCCTCAACAGGGAGAAAGTAGGGATGCCTGCTTCTTGTTGAAAATCACAGTTCTATGCTAAATTCACAAGTACCATGTAATTGTTTTTCACTGGTCCCTATCTAGAAGCAGACAAAAATAGAAGAGTAGCCAGCATGATTGTCTCTACTACAGCCTGCTGCTATAGGAGAAGAAATTGAAGTTATTCTTAAAGCCAAAAGCCTCAAGCAGGAACAGAGCTGCATGCCACTGAGAACTGTCCACATGTCCAGGGGAGAAAAGAATGAAGCAGTCAAATAGTATAATTTAGGGGAAAACACCAAGCGGTTGAATAATATATCCAAGACAGAAGGGAACTAAATAGCAGGAAAGTGATGTGGTGGGAGAACAACAACTAGGCAACATGGAAGCATGCACTGGTGGTAAAGGAGACCAACTGCAGAGAAGCACATGGAAAGGGGAGAAAAACCAGGACAAATGGAAGGTGGAAAAGTAATTAATAAAAAGAAAAAAGGAAAGAAAAAATAGTGCAATTAAGTTCTCAAAACCCAGCACACTTACACTGCAATATAGTTACTTATATCTGAATGTGTTTCCTAATTTCTGAGCCAATTAGGGATAAACAACTAGTCACCTTTCCCCCTTGCTGCCTCTATCAGAGGTAGCAAGGGAGGGAAATCAGGAGCCGGGAAAGCAGAAGCAGGCTCTTAAGTTAAAAATCATTGGCACAGTGGAGGGGGACCCCAGCGCAAGCCAAGACAGCTGATTCCTGGCTCACATCAGGTGCCACAGCTGCACTTCAGCCTTTTAAAATGAATTAAGAGTTGGCAGGCTCTTAATACATTTAAAAGGCAGAGCTACAGCAGGGTTATCTCCTGGAGCTGGGAGTTAACCCCGCTGCGGCGCTCCTGTTTATCAACAAGTTGATGGAAAAATCTATCGACTAGTTGATTAAATGAAATTTTACATCCCTAGTGCCAATTGCTATAGTTGTTGTAGGGATGTTACATGACTGTGAATAGGAGAAGGGGATAGATCAATGGGAAAACCCTTGCAATAGACCACCACAACATGCCCTGGTCTATACTAGGGTGTTATTTCGAAATAACCTCCCTTAGGTCAAATTTATAAGCAGAGCATCCACACTACCAACCCTGTTATTTCTAAATTATGGGATGCTTATATCGAAATCTGTGCTCCTGCTTTCCTCAGGGAATAATGATGATTTCAAAATAGTTATTTTGAAATAGCATTAGTGTGGAGTTTCTAGTGTCACTATTTCAAAATAACTACTCCCCAGTGCTTCCTGGGGCTCTAAGTCGAGGTAGCATGTCCACAACAACGGAGCCTCCCTCAGACTAATTTCAAGGCTCCCCCATAGCAGGGACACGCTATTTTAATTCTGCAAAAATCAGGAGTTATTAAATCAAATTTAGTTATTTCAAAATAACTTCCTAGTGTAGACATGCCCTACAGGACAAGTCACTGAAGTACACAGATTACTTACAGCTGCTTTCTTTTTACAAAAGATCTTCAAAGCTTCTGTTAGTTCTTGTGTAATACTAACTACCACAGTTGCTTCTTTGTCTGAGGTGACCCGAAAAGTTTCCTGTCAAATTAAAAATAATCATACATCCAAAAAGGTTTAGTTCCAAACAATAATTAAGAACATTTATCTCAAATATAGGCAGTCCCCGGGTTACGTACAAGATAGGGACTGTAGGTTTGTTCTTAAGTTGAATTTGTATGTAAGTCGGAACTGGTACATATTGTAGGGGAAACTCTAGCCAAACATTTCTCCAGAGCTCAGTTTTATTCTCCCACACCTCACTTCCCTCAGCCCTTTATTCTCAAGCTGAAGTGTCTGCTGAGAAAAGCCGCTCCGCGTCTCCCTGGTCTGCTGGGGGGAAGCAGCTAGTGCGGGGTTGCCTCACCCCGTTTGTAAGTAGGGATCCGATGTAAGTCGGATCCATGTAACCCGGGGACTGCCTGTACTCAAATGGACTTCCCAAAGTAGTTCATGAGTTTTGGGAAATGAAAACAAAAATATAGGACTTCCTTTGAATCCATCTGAGTACTTGAACAAAAAATTCAAGGAAATTAGATTTATAGTAGCAGATGAAATCCCTGGCTGCTGGATGGTGTAATTTGTGAAGTTTTGCTTGTAAAAAAGAAAAAAAAAAAGTGGCTAAGAACTTACAAACTGGATGCTAACAGACTTCAAATCCCAGTGATAACTAAACCAGATAATCTAAATAAAGAGGGGACTCATCCACACTGGTAACTGTTTCCACAGTTTCGTCTTGCCTCAGACATTTTAGGATGCAGAATGACATTATTCAAATCTTGTTATATAGTTGGGACAAAATGGCATTAAAAGAGTGGTAGGGGAGCCAGAGAGCTCCACAGTAAAAAAGACAGGATGAAACAGGTGCCTAAGTCTTTCTCCTAAGTTGTTTAAGAAACTAGGTAAGTAAACTTTTCTTCTCAGAGCTTCTGAATACAGACTAGCAGACACTTACCTAAACAAATCACAGTCCATAATTACTCATGAATATTCTCCTTTGAAAACATTTTAGACACTAAACATTATTAAAAAATACTTTAGCAAATGTTAAAATCTCTGTTCTAAAAAGTAGATACACCAAGTTTTGTTTCTTTGAACTCTGAAGCAGTCCAAATTCAACTTCTAATATATGATGTTACAAGCAACAGCAAACAACAAAGGATTTATTTATCCTGCAACTGCCCAATCTTTCAAGATATGGTGAAATACTCTTCCCAGTGATTCATGCAAGATTTAATCTTTCTGAACTAATGCAAAGCCAGTATTAAAACATAGCAAAGCCCAGCAAAATACTTTGTTTACATACCAAATATTCTAAGGCTTTCTGCTTTTGAACTGGATCATTCTGTAGGGGGAAAAAAACATCACAAGAACTGATTACACTGCTTAAATATAGTTCTTCTACAAAACATCATAGTACACTAACAACCAAATGCTTGAGGGAAGAAAATATTTTACAGCAATTAATTAAAATCCTAGGCCCTTATTACTAATATAAATATAGCAACAACTGCAATATAAGTATTTTGGACTACGTACTTCAGCACCCAGGATATAGGGTTCCTGAAAACCTCTTCACTTTTAGCAATGACATTCCTGTGTTATGCTGACTATGAGGGAACAGGTCTTTTATTGTTAAATATTGAATATTTTATTTCAAATGTCACAGCTATTGTTGGTAAGTTGATACACTTAAGGCGAAATACTAAAAGGATGTACTTTGCCTTGAACATTTTTCTTTCAGGAGTATCAAAGAATGATACAAAAAAAAACACCAACACCTGTGAGGGACAGAAGTAATAATATCAATTTTATACATATAATGTGATGCTGAGAGGCTTGCGCATGGTCATCGAGTCAGTGACAGAGGGAGGATACCTGGGCTATACTCCTAACATCCAATTGCACAAATTAACTACAGGAACATATACCAAAGCAAGATAAAATGACCCTGCTCCCACCCACCCCCTTCCACATGGGGGGGCTGGCTTCTGCTC